TTAAGACTTGAAGGTTAAAGAGCAGTCATCACCTGAACAATGAGGCTTGGCAAAAGTGACTTCACAAACTCACAATTTATGATGTTTGTTCTTATAAATATGACCCAGAGCAAAAATTTTACAAATATAACTGTTTATCTTGTAAAAGATGAAAGATTTAGGACATGGCAGCTCTAACTTACATTCTCTTAATTTTATATTCTGAAGCAGAATGGCCCCCAGATATTCTTGAAAACTTTTATTTATGCAATGAATCAAAACAAATAGAATTTTTTTTGACACTTTGTGAGACATTGCTTTCATATTTGAGTTGTGAGTTCTGGTAGTTTTCAGTTGCGCTCCTCTCAGTGGTTACTTTTTAATGTACCCTAAGCTTCAACTGAGTTGGGAAAACCTGCATTCTCCTACTCTTCACCTTGGGGATGGAATAACCTCCAGAAAGAGCTCAAATTAGAAACTCTCGTGTCCATTAATGAATTTAAAGTAACCATGAAGAATGTAGTGATGGAGATATGTGCTTGTTTTTCCTGAGATGCTCAATGTGTTTTAACATACTGCTCTGATTTTATTATGAAAAATGTAATATGTTGTAATATGTATGAACTTCTTGTGGTTTGGCTGCTACCCTGGCCAGGTCTCTCTTGAAAAAAGAGATTCTGAATCTCAATGGGACTTCCTTGTTAAATAAAGGTTAAATAAAATTAAAAAAATATATATTTCTATATGTAATAAACACCAATTACCATGAAGTGCAGCTAGCGCAAGTCCAGTTAATGAGATGGGCCAATAAGTCTGATTGTCAGCATGGGTGTTTGTATCTATGTGGCTTGTGTGTTCACAAATTATGAGGTCTATTTTCTGGAAAAATAGCATGTTGTTGTGACCAACTGCTCCTTGTGGGGGGCCAACGCCTGGACCCCATGAGGGGATTTTTGGGTCAGGAGTCATGTTTAGGACTAAGGTGTGAATTGAGTTTATGTTGGGTTACAGTATGAACCTGTAATGGTTAGGTTTATGGTAAAGGTCATGGTAAGGCCGTAGAAATTAATGGAAGTCAATGGAAAGGCCCCATAAAGATAGTGTGACAAGTTTGTGTGTGTGTGTTAAGATAAGTGTGTATTGAGGGTGGGGGCAGGGAAGAAGGATGGTCTTTGGTTCTTTAGTTTCACTGGTCATTGTATGGTCTTAAGTAGGGGTGACTTTGGTGGGACATCTACTAGAAAGGGTTTAAAATGTTTGTTTTTTTAACTTTTTTTTAATCCTTTATCTTTAATGAATAATCGAAAATCATCATTTCTTTATCAAGTATTTTCCTATCTTTTTTTCTTCGTGCTCCATAGGCAGTCTGAGGATTAATAAAACAAGTTTCTCCTCTAAAACTAAAGAAACAGGACTACACTCCCCCTCCTTCTCCTTGCAGGTGGCCCCGTTCTCTACTTTCAGCAGGGCTGCGGGAGGAATTCACATGTAAATAGGCCACTAACTCTCAATAGACTGCAGGGAGAAAAATGAATCCCATCATGATAACCTTGCATAATAATGGCGCTTCAACTGTGCATAGATTGCAATGTTCCCTTTTTACGAAATGGGATGAAATGTGAAAACCCAGCAGATTAAGAGAACCCCCTGGAGAAGGGTTTATGGGAAAATGAAGAGCATAGTGACATGCAGGCAAAACCAGAACCTCATGCTATGTATTTAAAATGATGACGGTTTAACAAGCATGTTTCTGGGTAGTCCCATTCCAAGAGAAGGTATCATATTTCACGCAGGTCTTTGTATGTCTATACTGGATAATTGTAGAGCAGCTTAGCGTACTAAATGTGTGCTGTTGTGCAATTATGGGTTTGGTTTTTTTAATTTCAACCAAACAGCTCTCAGTCGGCCTTTCAATTACCATCCTGTGAAATGCAAGCCCAATGTAGTATAAGAGAGCAATAGATAAAGAGGTCATTGGAGCTCTGCCGTTCAGTAAAAAATTAGTCCTTCATGTATAAAACACAATAAGTTTTCCAAAATGAGAAGCATTTATAATCAAAAGTGATTCTACTCAAAATTCAAACATTCAGTTAATCTCTAACTAAAATAACCAAGCAGAAAAAAATTATAAGAATGAACAAAAAGATCTGCAGTTTTATTAACCATGCAAAACTAAACCTGTATGAATCCAACCTAAATACATTTGGAGATTTTTTGATTATTCTTTAAAATGCTATTTCATTTAAAAGCCTTTCAACTAAGATGAAAGAAGTTAGTTAAAAATAAAGGCATTCAATATTTTAAGAACCTTAAAGTTTTTGAAATTTTATAACTAAATGTTACAGTGAGGATTTTTCTTTTTTCTTTAACTGAAACAAAAATAAATTAAGATTTAATGACTTTATTATCAACCTTCTAAGAGAGGCTGTGGAGGAAAACAAGCCATGATTGAAATTTTTTAAAATAGAAAATGAGCAGTGACATATAGAAGTGACTGCTTGATAAGGGGTTTCTGTTTAACTGTTTAAGGGTGTGACCATGCTGAGTAATAAAGAAGATATCTTTAAAAGAAAACTCTGAACGTTCTGAGAAGCCCTGAGGGAGCCAGAAGCCCCTCCCATCTTGTAACTCTGAATAAGAACATTTTGTGCCTAATGCTTTAAGTTGTATCGCAATCCAACTGACTTTGGTGGTAACTGCCAAAGTCAATTATGCCACAGGCTTTGCAATACATGAACAAGTGATGTAACTCCATTTCCAAAGAAATTCAGTATGATGTGAAGATATTATGAAGCAAGGAGTAACATGGCACCGCGGGATTGATTTGCTGTAATCAACATTTCCTGAACTATTCAAGAATAATAAGAGGGGCTAAAAGGTCAGAACAGACAGAATCAAGTAAAATGTGATTTGGTTTGAATTAAATTTGTCAGCAAAAACAAAACCCAAGGGAGGAACCAAGCTCCCTGACAACGATCCCCCTGTAAGTGCTCAGATGAAACAAAAACAGAGAAAAATGAAGACCTGAGGCCGTCTGTCTACCAAGCAGGACAGGACACAAGTAATGAAAGAGCCAGTGCAGCAGGCAAAGAGAGGGAAACAGAGTCAGGAAAAGTGCAGGAATGCCTTTGCTCTTAAAAGTTTCCTTCCTTAGCAAACAAGTTGGGCAAGAACCACCTGGTCAGGGAGCTAGCCCCTGTTTTGTACTTGTAGGTTTAGTACTTTACTTAAATGCTTAATCTAATAGGAAAGCTACGGTTTTCTATTTTTAGGTTTGATTGTCCTGTTTTAAGACAGTCTCAAATAATAAAGATCTTATTCATAGCACATAATTGGCTGAAATAATCACAGTGAAACAATTAGGGAATTATCCATCTACATCAGTGGTGTTTTAGAAAGGCAGCTGCACCACCAGCTTTGTTGGGGTTAATAAAGGATTGGGAAACAAGTGACGTTGACGCACAGGCCTGTGCATCCAACTGTAATCCAAAAATACTCAGACATGCCACTTTACAGTGTCCTGCCCCAACCTGTTTCACTGGGTTTGGCCTCTAGACTTTAACAACAACCTCAAGCTACTGCAGGATATATAAAAAAAAAAAGCTGCATACCTCTGAAAAGATGTCAGATTTATGTTATGTTAAAAGAACAAATTGACATAATTTCAAATCTGTTGTATCTTTAGCCAACAACCTATTAAATGAAAAGTAAAATGAAATACTCCTGTTGCTTGGATGTGCGCCTTGTTTTGTAACTACAAAATGGTGCATTCAACATTAACATAAGAGTAAGCTTACACCTTACAGTGCCTCTGATCAATCCCCAAATAGTTTAACTTTCATGTGATTTTCCTAGTTGGATCTCAGGAAAATGGAATCTCCCATAACCCTGTGGGGATCTAAGAGCAAATCCGTATTTTAAAATGATCCCCAAAAAGCTGCAGTGGTGGATAAACAGACAGACATGGGGTACATGGAAAGAGATGAGACCGAGCTACAACATTCCTGTTTAAACTGTATTCAAAAAGGTTGCTTAGGGTCAAATACAATATCTCCCATCAGCCAAAAAAAAAAAAACTGAAATGCCCACAATAAAGTACAGAGGTGGTTGCATTATGCTTTGGCACTGTTTTTTTCAGCAGGAACTGCGGCCTTCAGTTACCTTGGTAAAAAAATTAGAAGCTCTAAATACAAGACAACAGTGGCACTAAATCTTTTAAGTTACAGCTTGAAAAGGAACTTAGTCTTTGGGGGTAGAGAAGGACCAGAGTGTCCAGCCCAGAGCTCAATCTGGTTGAGACTCTGCAGGGGGCTTAGAATAGGGGATATCTGCATAGTTCTAACTTTTTTGTTGTTGTTTTTTTAAGAACTGAGGCAAGGACAAGAAGTGCCAGGCTGATGGAAGAGCTGTAATTAAATCAGTGTGCAGCTTATTATTTCAGAGTTTGTAAACTTGTGCAACCAGATCACTCTGTTTATCAGTTTCAATCCTGTGTTACAGGTCACATGGAAAAAAAAAACTCTGAAATGATTCCCAGTTTCATTTTGTACATAAAATAACATGTAATAACAGAGGTGTGGAGAATTTGCATTCCGTTATGTTTTTGCACCATGACACATCATCTTGTGTTTCAGTTAAAATGAAGCCTGCAGCATGTGATCATTTTCACTGTAAACCTGCAGCTAGACACGTTGCAGTTCTCCTTCAGTCATTATAAGATGCCCTCGGTTTTTGGGTGCATTCATCTGTCAGTGCAATTAGTGTGCACACTGCATCCAATGAAACCAAAGGCAAATTTGTAAAGTGACAATTAGAGGTTCCAGCTGACTGAGCATGCCCTTTGTTTTCGTGTGAATGAGCTGCAGAACAACGTGTCCCACGTCAGCCGTTCCTCTGCAGAAACTGGTTTGGGTGCTCCTCTGTTTTCATTTTTCATCTTTCCCTGGCAACACATTCCAAGGCTGTAAAGCTGGAGTTTAGCAGCAAACAAATGTTGGATTAAAGTATTACCGAAAACCAAATCACTGTCCGAAACAAACTTTATTTAGCAAAACATTATACATATATATATTTTTTCCGATTTCAGCCAGTGTGGAAAAACTACTGTACATTAGTATTTTCTGTCCAAATATATCTATAAAAATCAAACGCAATATGATCCATTTTAATCTGTAAACTCCAGAAATGGTCATCTAAAGTGCTTTTTTTTTTACTAGATAAAGACAGCAAACAATCAGAGGATACTGTAATAATTCATAATACTTTTCTTTAAACAAAACAAAAAAATCCAGTGTGGAAAAACGTCAAATAACATTTGAAACACTTTAATACAACTGCTTCTCTTGTGCGACGTCGTTTAAACCTCTTTTTCCCTTCAGACCTTCAACTAGTCAAAGCCTTGAATTATTTTTGGTAAGATTGTTGAAAAAGCGACTGTTTGAAATCCTTTAAACATCTGCTTTGCCCTCCTCCAGACCCTAAAAACCCTCAGCGTTGTGTAGTTCCTCTGTAAAACACATCCACACGTGCCTGAAACGTTCACCTCTTCATACTGTAGCCCATTACCTTCACTTCCTGATCAACAGCATTAGAAGCACCCGACTGTGACCGGGAATCTGGACTGATAAAACTCAGCACAGTAAATATGAACCTGCAGTGGAACTGGAAATCCACTCAGGGAGAAAAAAAAAAAGATTGTTCCTTCATAAAAAACCAGCAGAAAATCCATTTTTATCTAGTTTATCTTTTTTTTTTCTGCTGCCGCAGCATCTTTCTCCTCTTCTGGATCATCTCGTGGAGTTTGTCCAGGCCCTCCCTTAGTCCGTCCCCAATGATAGCACAGCATGACTGCAGGTGCCAGGGCGTGGCGGGGCCCAGTTCTTTTAGAGCGAGCAGTTTCTCAATCTCATCCACTCCCAAAGACGTCCTCAAGTCCTGCTTGTTGGCCACCACTAACACGGGCACCCCCTGGTTCTCTGATGTCTTGGTGATTTTATGCAGCTCAGTCTTGGCCTCCTCCATGCGCTCCACATCTACAGAGTCCACCACGAAGATGATGCCATCTGTGCACCGGGTGTATGACTTCCACAGGGGGCGGAGCTTCTCCTGCCCTCCGACATCCCAGAAGTGAAAGGTAACAGTACGGTTGCCCCCAAGGGCCACTCTGACCTTCTCCGAGTTGAAACCTTTAGTGGGCACAGTGTTCACGAACTCATTGAACTGCAGTCTGTACAAGACTGTGGTCTTTCCAGCAGAGTCTAGTCCCAGAATGGCGATGTGAAACGATTGGAAGAAAGACATGTTGGAGCAGAGCATCGACTGTTCAGATGGTCCATTCCCCATGGGGATAGAAAAAGGAGATGAGTGCGGTTTCAGAAACAGTCCTCAAAGGTGCTTACGGTCCAGAAAGGCAGCAGGAATAACCTGAAAAAATAAATTATCCGTGTTATTTTCTTCAAACATGTGAATTAACAATGATTTAACTAAACAAGTACAAAGAGAAGCGACATTACAGAAAAAAAAAAGAAATTTAAGCAAATAGAAAGCACTACACCAGCAGATGGAGATCATTTCCTCCTAAAATATCTAATTTTTTTTTTTTGTATGAAATAAATTACAAGCTTGTTTGTTTATGTGTAAAAGAAAGCCGTCTTTTATTAAATGCTTTCCATTTATGCTGCTTTTAAGTCCAGGTCTGAAAAAAGGGATTCCATAAATTATATGCAAGATTAAAAATATATATTCTCAGTGTAACCTGCAGGTTTTACTGAACTCTGATTTTAACTATGGTTGTTTTTGTCTTTGACTCAAACAACGGGCAATAAAGACTTCACTTCCAAGATGCACGGGCATGAAAAACATAAAGAAATAGAAATAAAACTTTATTGATCTCACAATTGAGAAATTAACTCTCTAAACTTTAGCATAAACTTTGGGTTTTGCGCTTTCAATTAATTTATTTTGTATAGAAACACCGAATAATTGACAGTAGCAGTTTCCAGTGATGCATGGAGAGACAGGCGTTTAATCTGGTCAGTAAAAAAAAAACAAAATGAAAATTTTTTACAATACTATTGTAATATGTTCCATTCAAACAGTGGTTACAAAAAAAAAAATCGAAATCTGGACAGTTGTTTCTTAAAATAAGTGCGTTTGTTCTTGAATTGAGGAGGTAAGTGAGACACTTTGCCAGTTGAATGAGTCAATTTACATTTAAAATAAGAAAAAAAAATAAATTGCACTGTCTTATTTCAAGTGCATATTGTCTAATTATCTTAAGAGTAAAAATGTTCATTCCATTGGCAAAGCTTTCTCTTTGCCTACTCAGTTAAGGGTAAATACATTTATTTAAGGAATTTTTACTTATTTCTAGTTTGTTTTTGCAGTGTTGGTATTTACGGCAAATATTTGAAATCAGCAGGTCATACTTCTATAAAAAAAAAAATTAATCTCTCATCTTTTTTTTTTTAACAAATTAAATTGTTTACAATCCTTCCGTTAAATATCTCCCAAATACGATCAAGAAGAAATGTAACGGCTTTGTTGGATTTTTGTTGGATTCCAAGTTGGGAATTTGCTTGTAGCTTCTAATGTTTGTAAAAAACATTGGGGTCAAATGCTGTTTATTGTAGGTAGATCACGAACATGGGTGGCAATTTGCACCAGCTAATATTGGAAAGCACTAAAATGACTGGAAGATAAGTTGGATCTATTTATACAGCCTCGTATACTAGCCCCACCCACAAGCAGCCAAAATAATTTTTTTAAATGTTTGGATGCAAAGCGTGTGGGGTTTTGAGGGTGTGATGACAAAGCTACACAACGCTGGAGAAAGCACAACAAGGAAGACGGCAACAACTATTGAACAGTAGCATGCACTGCGGCAGCAGCAGCTTTCAATGGAGCGCTCCATTGAAAGTTAAAAGTTCTCTTTCTGTTGTTGAATAAAAGTATGTTTTAAGGTAATTTGAGGCGAGAATATAATACTTTAAAGCTTCACTATATGGTACATTTACCGATTTAATGCGTAATTAAAAAAACAATTTCCAAAGTTGAGAGGACCGCGGCAACCAGCGGACCTCCGAGGCTAACGGCAGCCAGGGCTAACAGCAGCGGCCCTCTTTCGGCATAGTCTTGAGTGAAGGACCGCTGGCTCTGATGGCGATTTTTGACCCTGCTCTGGGATCAGCTTTGGAAGGATTAGACTTGGGGTTTTCTTTGAAACGTGAGCAGGAAGAGCCTCTAAACTCAATCATGTTTAAAAAGGACGTATTCACCGTTTTACTGACAGGCTGTTTGTTGACACTCCCTCACCAGCTTTCTGTAGCGCTTACTACGTCACAGTCAGTTGCCCTCATTGGTCAGAGCATTGGCCAATAGGCACAGACATGGTTTGAAAAACAACGGGTTGTTCCCATCAACAATCTTCCGATGTCTCATTCATCTGGGCCAGACTAAATAACCTCTCCCATTTAGTCTGGTTTTTCAGGCTACCATTTACAAGCAAAATTGGTGGAATTGCAGTTAGAATAATGAGACATTTGTACCCCTGGCCTGTTGGGGGCAGCATTAAATCTAACCTGCAGTTATGGGGCGTTCCATTAACCTCAGAACTCGGAGTGGCGTAGCTTTTAAGATTCCTCCTTGTGAACCCTCATTGTTTACAGCCAACAGCTTCAACAATAACAAAACTCTTTTAACACAACATTTGGTGCATGTAAACATGCACATCCTGTTTTATTTACAATAAGTAACAATACGCGTACAACTGGTTTTACATAAATATCATAAAAACGGCTAAAACTGTTGAAGTAGAAAAGTCTAACCGGGGTTGATGTGAGTAGCAGCCATCTTGAACACAAAAGTTCAATATTGCCCTGTTGCTCTGACATTATTACTTATAATGATGACTTTGAAAATGTTTCAGTTGAAATTTATTACATGGAGGTTAGAAACTCCTACAAATCATAGCAGGAAGTCAATGTGCATCACACCCTGGATGGAAAGCAAATGACAAAAACCAACATTTTGTTCAAGAGGAGCCAAGAGATGAAACCTAAAGCTGAGGATAACTTTGCTTTCCCAAACTTTGATTCTCTCTTTTTAAGCCATTTTTTGCTACAATCGACACGTGTTGCAAAAAACAAAAAGTGATAGCCATGCAGATGAAGCATTGTTATTTTGGATCAGAGGTCATATGCCGTCTCAAACATGGTTTAAAACCAACAAAAATGGAAATATGCCTTGGTAAACCATCATTTAAAAGTAATGCCTTATTAAATACAATTAAATAACTAATTTTAGCTTCATTTGGAGAAATATTTAAGGATTTGTTTTACAGGTACAAAAAGGACATTTATATTATGGCCACACATATATAATGTATCATATTTATTTTTACAGTAAGGTTTTTTTTTAGCAATCAAATTCTGGATTAACAATTTATATAAACAACACTTCTTTTTTTTTTTTTTTTTTAACTGGAACATATATTACTGTGAAAGAAGCAGCAGCTTGAGAGCTTTCAACACATTTCTATATTCCTCTGCCTCACTGAAATGCTGTAAGCTTACATTTTTAATAGAATTACACGAATCTTATTTGTATTAACCTCTCTTGATCCTTATGTTTACGACGAAACAATCAATTCTCCAGCTGCCCTTAGAAAATATACTATAATATAATTAAAAAAAAAATAGATCTTCCTTATCTAGAGGTAGCGATCCCTTACCTCAGAGTGAGCCCTGTTTGGAGAAACGTTAAATGTAATCCTGTCCGAACCGAGGTGTGATTTCTTCTCTAGTTAAAACGATCTGAAATCGCTTTGCTTCTTCGTATCCTCACAGCAACGACGGCTGAAGAAAAAAAACCGTCCTATCAAGAAACCAACACCCTTTCTAGCCGCTGTTTTTCTCTGCGTCCTCAGTGAAACTACGGCTGATGACACCGCTCTGCTGCTTGTGTATCCTGTCCGGCTGGGGCAACGCCCACACCGGCACTGCGGACAAATCTGATTGGCTCCTGGCCTCTATGGTCTAATACCTGATTGGCCGAAATCAGCTGCCACTCACGTATTCTTGCCGGTAAGAGATCACCTGTTGCCCATAATGATTGGAACACTATTTCATTTGACAAAATTATACGAAAAACGAGTTTAAAAAAATTATAATTACACACACATATGTATATATATATATATATATATATATATATATATATATATATATATATATATATATATATATATATACACACGTTTTTTTACTATTATTATTATTATCTCTAACATGTATGTTTAACGTATGTTGGGAGTGTCGCAAGATGAGTGTAGTTTTTCCCCTGAATTACATGCGATACGCTTGAAATTAATGCTGATAAGCTTCTACCGAGGAGACAGAATTGCATAACAACATAAAGCATAATAACAATGAAGTCTATATGAGTGTATAAATGTGTAAGACAAGAAAATATCTACAGACAATCAAGCTAGCTGCAGCTACAGGCCTAGAAACAGATGAAAGGGAACCTACCATTGGTTTGGTGTGGAGAATTTGGCGTGGTTTCGCGTCGTCGTGGTTTCCCTGCATGTGAATGTGTGTGAGAGACATCGGACGGCGGGGGGTGAGGCCCAATACACATCCACTCGCTGCCTGTGTGATTGTCCTGTTTGCTGAACAGCGCCGCCCCGTTTATCTTCTTCTTCTTCTTATGGGATTTTATGGCGGTTGGCAGACTTGTGAATTGTGCATTACCGCCACCAACTGATATGGAGTAAAGCAAGAAAACAGGAAACGATTCACCCCCCCAAAAAAAAAAAAATAAAAAAAAAAAAAAAAAAAAAAAAAAAAAAAAAAAACCTGTGTAACTTAAACCAACATAATACTAAATCACATTTGCCCATATAATTTTAATTTACTCTAGGTCATCTTAACTCTGCCAGTTTCTGATGGTCCCATCGGTCCTCCCATCATACTTCCAACCATCTCCCAGTTCAAATCTTTAATGTCCAGATATTTTTCTGCAGCCTTCACTATTATTTTGATTTTTTCCGTTTTTTTTGTTGTCTGTGCAGTACAATTAATAACTTCTACCATGAAAAGAACAAAATTTGTCTTTTTAACAATAAGTGAGTCTTCATCAATTTTTAGAGATTTCTCTAGAGGTTTGGAATTTGCTGTGTGTTGAACTGTAGGTTTGGGTTTTTCTGACTGAGATGGGATCCTTTTTGCAGCTTCAGCGTAGGTTATTCCGAGCTCAAATTTCATTTTTTTAATTTCCTCAGACCTTTTGCTTGCTTCACAGCCGCGATAGGCAGCAGTATGTTCTCCACCACAATTACAGCATTTTATTTTAGCTTCTTTTCCACATTTTCCGTACTCATGTTCTCCTGCACACCTTCCACACCTCTGTTTCCCTTTACAAACTGCTGCAATGTGACCGAATTTTTGGCATTTGAAACATCTCAATGGTGGAGGATTGTAGATTTTGACATTATAGCTTATGTAACCGATGAATACTTTGCTTGGTAATTGCTCTTCTTCGAATTTAATTAGCACAGATAAACTGTCAGATCTTTCTCCGTTTCTTGTTGTTTTTAACCGTTTTACTTCTTTTACTTTTGCACCTCTTATGTTTTCCAGAATCTCTTTTTCAGAAATTTTTAGAGGAACTCCTCCAATGACTCCCCTGCTGAACTTTTTGTTCTCCATTAAGCTGCACTGAACTCTTATCCCGTCAATTTTGTTGATCCGTATTGCTTTGCCTTGCTGGGCGCTGTCTCTGCAGATAATTAGCAGGTCTCCACTGTACAGAATTCTGGCACCTCTGACTTCTCCGACAAGTTTATTGATGGTTTTTGTTAAGTGAACCGGATTCCAATTTGTAAAAGAGTCTGCCTGATTAACGACTTTGAATATGACTTTGAATTCATTTTGTTGTGCTGTGGAATGTATGGAATGATCATCACTGGATTGTTCTGAACTAGATTCCCCTTGAACTGATCTCTGTTTTTTCCGCTTTTTCTCATTTTTTGATGTTGCTATCTTCCAACCTTCATTGTCACTATTTCCCTCTTCCATCCCACAAGAATCGCTTCCTGTTTCCTCACTACTCACGGCCCAAGACATTTCTCCATAAGCAGCTTCAAAACACGCGCCATGCACCAAACGACCATCCACATGCCAGGCCCCGCCCCGTTTATCCCCGCATGTTTTTGTTTAAAATGATTGGTCAGGGAGCAGGAAACAGCGCCACACTCCCTGAGGTCCCACAACGACATCAAAGGAGTGACTGGCCATCAGCCATCAGTTTACATAACCTGCATCTGTGTTTTGTTTTTTGTTTTTTTTTCTTCTTGCAGACAGAAACAAGAACTAAACAAGCCAGGGATTATACTGTATTTTCACAAATGGCCTTAAGAGAGGTAGAGAATAGGATAATGCTGCATTACACCTTAAAAATGTATATAACATGAGTCTACTCTATTGTAAATATTTGTCTAACTAAATAATATTTTATATGCAAAAATTTTTATTCAGATCCATCTGTATTTAATTCAGTTTAATAATTTTATTTATCCCAGAGCAGAGACGTCAAACCGGCTCCAGAAAGGGCCGTGTGGCTGCAGGTTTTTTTTTTTCCAACCAAGCAATGGCACACCAGACTCCAGCCATCTCATAAAGTGAGCCCAGTCTTAACATGAAGGCTTGATGAGATGAATGGGGTCTGATGTACTATTGTTTGTTTGGAAAGAAAACCTGCAGCCACATGGCCCTTTCTGGAGCCGGTTTGACACCACTGTCCTAGAGGGACAATTTAAAGGCTCTTAGGTCTTAGACAGCTTTTATTGTCATTTTGCATATATAGAGTGTATACAAAAAGAAATTTTGTTTTGTACAGCTTTCATAACATTCCCATTCTTCCTCCTCCTCCTTCTTCTTCTCCTCCTCCTCCTCCTTCTTCTTCTTCTCCTCCTCCTCCTCTTCTTGTTGGATTTATTGGCAGTTGGCAACAAACATTTAGTAGCATTACTGCCACTTACTGGTATGGAGTGTGGTTCATGATGGACTAACTACTAATAAACATAAAATTTCTAAGAAAAAAAAAAAAAAGAACAACATACTTATACATAACTTTGTACTCTACCCATCTATATCATACACACATTCACCCTCTCTATAATCAAATTCTATGAAATAATTTAGTTTTCTTTAAAAATTTAAATAATAATTATTTGTATATGTTTACTCCCCAAATTCTTCCTCAAAATATCTAATAAATTAATCTTTTCCTTAATACATTCAAACTCTCCTCATATATCTTCTCTCGCTTTCATATTTATGACATTCCAGTATAACATGATCTACTGTTTTATGTTTTCCACAGTAATCACATTTGCCAGTAGTTTGCTTTTGAATTTTGAAAAGTGTAAGTGTTAAGTCCTTTATGCCCAAATCTAAACCTTATTATCACTCTCTCCTCCTTTCTATTTGATCTTCCATTTCTTCTTTTTCCTACTATCTTCTGAATTTTATAAAAACATCTTCCTTTTTTTTTTGTCCCACCATTTTTTTGTTGTTGCCATTTTTCAATAAATTTTTCTTTAATAAAACTCTTTCCCTCTGATTCCCATTCCTTAAAGTGCAGCAGTGATCAAAGGTAAACAGTGTGGGAGAAAAAACATGGTGCAAAAAAATCGCATTGATATGGAAGTTCAGAGCATACAGAGTCTGTATGGTGCAAATATGCAGTTCTCTTTGGGATATTATGAGTTTTCACAACAGTTAAGCTTTCTGATGGTGGTGGCGAAGAAGCTCATGAGTAGCACAGCATACTACAGAGGGAAAAGCAGCTAATGCAACTGTTAACAGTGTTGAGTGCATATGTAGAATAAAGTGCAACAGGAGTTCATAGTTAGGCTGGTACCATCAGCTGGCTCCACTTCAAAGATGGGTGAGTGTTGAGAAGAGTAACAGCCCTCAGCTTAAAGGTGGCCTTTCTTCTTTGGGTCTTACAACCTCCAGACGGCAGCCATGTGAATTCAGGATACAGAGGATGATCAGGTTCCCATATGATCTAGATAGCTTTCCCTATATATCGCTCACAAACTGTGTAGTGAGCTCTTGTTGGCAGACCACTAATGTTCGAAGACATCGTATGCTATGCAGACAATTTTTATTTTGCACAGAGATGGGGTAAAACCATTTGATGCAGGACGAGGTTTACATGCTCTTTATGAATTAACTGTAGATTGTGGACAGGAAGAGCTTGCTGACATAAAACTGGTCGAACTTCCTCAGGAGAAGCTGTCTTTGTCGACACTTCTCTATATTACTGATGGAAATGAGGATCACATGTTGATATAAGGCTGTTTTATGAAAGCATGTTGTTCACTCGCACAATTTTTGGCCTTTTAGTTAAAAAGTCCAGGATACAACTAAGCTGTCATTCAGACAAAAGCGGGTGATCAGCTCTTTTATTTCCATTATTTTTTGTACAATTGCATTTAAAAAAAGATAAAAACCAGGCCATATGTTTACATTTCAAGCTTAAACTATTCGGTCTTCCAGCTTATTAAGTCATTTAAATTCAAACTCTATTTACAGACACATTAGAACCCAAATAGTATTTGTTTTCCTCATATTTCAAAACTAAGACTCAAATGGAACTGCTACGTGTGAAGTACTTGCTACATCCACAGGGGAATAGAGGGGAAGTCGCACCAGGGTGTTATGGCAAGCATACAGAAGCAAGGAACTTAGATCAACTGTTACCTGAAATAAGCAGCTGTTTCTGCCCATCAGCCTGGGAAGGGATAAGGTGATTTTAATCTATGTTAGAGTATATCAAAGATATAATGTAGGTGCCCATTTATTCCTCAATGGTAACCTCACCAAATTTACCCCAAACTGAAGTTGTGGAAAAAGGGATAAAAAAAAAAGATCAAAAGATACA